GTTGGAAAATTATTTTTTCTACTACCGTGCGTAAAGTACTCACTTTACGCACTATTCAGAAGACGTAAAATTCCACTTCACGTACTAGTGCGTAAAGTAATTCACTTCACACACTGGTGCGTAAAATAATGTCAATGACAGTTGTTGACACTGTCAATTTAGTATTTTTCTGGTAAATAACTTCACGCACTAGTGCGTAAAGTGAAAATACTTCACGCACTCAAACCCAGACTCAAAATCTCTTTATTTAAAATAATTAACCCTGCACAATAAATACTTAAAGCTAACCGGGCTGGGGCCCCTTAACTTAAATATTTACAAACAATAGACCTATCTATTTTTACCTGTATGCGCGCGCAACACGAGGCAATGCATTTTTATTGGCTAACTAGTACAGGTGAGAGGTGTTCGTTTTGCACGCTGGGCATCTCCTTGTCCTTGTTCATTGCCCGTGGTCTGACAAGGATCAGAATTATGGTTGATAAATAACTTGACGCAGCTTGACAAGTAATCGATTTTCAATTGTTTGTGTTTTTGATTGACAAATACGTTGCACGTCACGCGGTCATCCACCTTTCTTTTTTATCCCGTGCAAATAATAAAAAGGGATTGTATACATAAGTCTAACATGGTTTGGTACGTTTCGCCTCGTCTTGCGCAATAAGCGTTCTGCGTCTTTTTCTATCTAATAAAGTTTTCGTATTATTATCTCTTTGTTTGGTAAAATAGATAGGTCTATTACTAATCCTAGGACAAAGACTACTTAAGGTTAAAACTCCAGCGTGACGCAGTACGCCGCCGCACACTTGCACGCCTAGCGTACAGTGCGCGATCTCTAGTCCCGGTCGATGTTGTTGACCTATCGAGCCCCTGATCCTATTTTTGTTTGGTACCTCTCTTCGGCGTTTCCTGGGCTGCGTTCAGGAATGACTACAGCCAAGCCAAAATTGGCATTTTGCGTTCGATTTCGGCTCCAACCTACGTGGTTCGGCATTACAGGTGGAGGGGGAAAAGTAGATTTTGGCATTAGCATTGCCGTCCTTGAACGCGACCCACGTCTCCCTTGAACGTCGCTTTTGTGACCCTAGAGTCGTTGGTGATCACCACGAATGGCGCGCACTAGGTCACTACAGTGGCTTGTCTGAGGGTATGGGTGGTTTGCTCAGATTTGGGTTGCAGAGCGCCAGCGCCCTTCTGCGGGGAAAAGCATCGAAAAACCCCGCTTATCATTAATTTTATGTGTAAAAGCAAAAAAGTTGTGCCCTTTGCGCGTTCAGGTCCACTGGACGCAGCGTCACTAACAATATTAAGTAAGCTTTGAGGATGGGTGCGCGTGAGCACGGGTAAGAATAAAAGGGGTTCTACAACCATGCACCCTGACCAATCCTGAGGCCTGATGAGCCTCTAGGTAATAGTTTTGGTGCAAGTGATGTGGAATTTTTGGGATGTCAGAGAATGAGGGTTGGGGGGGTTGAGCGCAAAAATTTACCGGGATTGGGATATGCATGTTTGCAGCTAAATTGGGCTATTTGTGCCTAGGTTTTTTGGTCGAAATGGGGGTGTTTGATGGTTAATTAGACAAGTTGGTTTCCTCATAGCCAGCGATAGAGGAGTTAAATACACACTAAATCTCTGGCTAGTTGGAATTTTCCGAAGAACTGATGATAGAATTTTAGACCGTTGTCAGGATTGCCAGTCTCCTGCTTTAGACTTGGCTGTTGGCATTATCGCCAGATTTCCTTGTCTAATTTTGTCTCGACGAGTGGATTTTCTTCTTCTTCACGCACTAGTTCGTAAAGTATTTGTCTAAATCTATTTTTTCACACATATCTGAGTGGAAGTAGAAAAAAATTTGTTGGCAATACGTGCGTAAAGCACCTTTTTTCACTCAAGTGATTGTCGCACTCGTCTTCGGCTCGTGCATCAAAATTCACATTCGTGAAAAAAGGTTCACTTTACACACTTGTTGCATAAATAACTATTTTCTACAACCATGCGTAAAGTACTCACTTTACGCACTATTCAGAAGACGTAAAATTTCCCTTCACAAACTAGTGCGTGAAGTAATTCACTTCACGCAATAGTACGTAAAGAATACACCATATAATTCAACTGTTTTTTGCCAAATTTTTATTAGAAATATTTCAGCTCAGTTACGATTTTCAATCATATCGAACGTGTATCATTCAAAATTTAATCTACGATGGTCAAAATAGATTTGATTTGCCTTGAGTTTCTTAATTGAAATTCAAAATTAGCAGTTGTCATTGGTAGTTGCCCATATATTAGTCGACGAACGCGCTTGCCAATTTATTTTTTTTTTTTTTTGACATTGGCGGCTTCATTATTTGGAGTCAATTTTTGTGCCAATCTAATACTTATTTGTCGTTCAGAGAACATAAGTGAACATTTTTAAAGAAAATTTTGATAAAGGTAAGCTGAAATATTGATTAAAACAATTTTCATATAAATATGAACTCCAAATATTACTTTAGGAGAAGTCTGAATATGAATATCAACGAATCCGCGTCATATCAGAGTGATGATGACTTTGAAAATACCCCTCCCGATATAGCAGAATCTGCAAAAAAAGCTTCGCTGGAGCTACTTCCAAAAAAATCAGTAGCTATATATGAACAAAAATACAGCCTATTTATAGGTTGGTGTAAGAAAAATAAGATAGCAAAATACTCCGAAAATGCCCTGAATGCATATTTTTCGGATGAACTAAAACGATACAAAGGATCAACATTATGGTCAACTTTTTCGATGCTTAAAACAACTTTGAAAATTAAGCATTCTGTGGGCTTAGGATGCTACCATAAATTAATTGCCTTTATTAAGCAAAAAAACAAGGATTACAAACACAAACCAAAAAAGTCTGGAATATTTGATAAAAATCAATTCATAAAATTTGTTTTAGAAGCACCAGATTCACAATATTTGATGATCAAGGTAATTAGGTTCATTTAATAAATGCCATGATCTTTGATTGCTTTTGAGATAGCAAAGCATTTATTTTTTTGATATGATTGGAGGATGAAGGAGTTTTTTTTCTTAAATAGGTTGCATTTATCATCGGTATTTCTGGGGCGTGTCGCAGAGAAGAACTGATGAAAATTACAATAAATGATATAGAGGATAAGGAAACAGTTCTTATCATAAGAATTCCTGACTCAAAAAATGGAATGGAGAGAATATTCATAGTTTTAAACCCGGCTAATAATGCTATAGAGTATTTAGCATACATCAGGAAATACATGGCTCTAAGACCCACCAATCTAAAAACAAATAGGTTGTTTTTAAAATATTCACAAAACAAGTGTACAAAACAGCTTGTGGGCATTAACACCTTTGGCAAAATGCCTTCTGTTATTGCTTCATATCACCATTTGCCGAATCCATCATCATTCACGGGACATTCTTTCAGAAGGTCATCTGCAACTATTTTGGCTAACGCTGGGGACGATCTTATAACGGTCAAAAAACATGGGGGTTGGAAGTCTTCTACTGTAGCAGACGGCTATATTGATTCGAAATTAAGCAAAAAAATAGAAGTGTCCAATAAGTTACTAAAAATAGACCCTTGTTGTTCATCAAACTTCAACGGACCTGATACTTTACCAGAATTAGAAGTTCCTGACCAAGTTCCAGAGACACCATCTATCACTGATAAACAAAATGACAATCTTCCCGAGAATACAACGACAGAGAAACGTGTCAATTTGCATCATTCATCTACTTTTGATATAAATACTAAGATATGATCTGAAAATTTGAGTACTTCACTTAATTCAGCTCAAGGACTTACATTTAATAATTGTTCAACTTGTACCTTTAATTTTAATATTGTTCACAACTGAAACCATTTTTTATTTCCTAATAAAATTGCTAAAAGAGTTTGATTATATGCATTAGTTCCTTTGCAAAAATGCATAAACACCAACAAGAATGAAATTTGATATTAAAACCTTTGCTGCTCCTTTTTGGTATTAAAAATGTCATATTTACTTTACACTCTAGGTTGTGAAATAAGTTACTTTAGGCACTAGGGCGTAAAGTTGTGGTACATTTTTGTGAAATTATTACTTTATATTGTCGGTAGTAGAAAAAAATTTGTATGCAATATGTGCGTAAAGGACCTTTTTCACTCATGTGATTGTCAAAATCCACATTCGTGAAAAAAGGTTCACTTTACACACTTGTTGCATAAATAACTACCTATTTATGTTCACTCTCGTAGTCGTATATGAATAGCATGTTTTTAAACTTCTTCAATTGATACGATGAAGACACAATTTGATACAAACTTAACAAATAACGGTTTATTACAAAGAAAGAAGAATATGTTACGTTAGCGTTTCGCAACTTCGCAACTTGTCAACAAAGTCAACACTTAACAACACAGAATTAAATAACAATAATAGTCTTTGCACTAAACATAACACTGTGAAGTCCACAAACACACACAAATAACATTCTATTAACAATACGAAACACCTTTTTAACAAACTGAAATATTAAAACAAGAAGCACAACGTTTTCCAGTTCATCTTTATCGTTTTGTCATCATTTGTCATTTAATTGAAATGACGTCGTCACCCTTCTTCTCCAGAAAGATATACCTTGGAAATACAATCAACAACGGGCACAGGAAAAATAAAAATGATTTTGCAAAATTTAGGTATTTTTCGGATATCTTCGGAAGTATTCGGAATTAATAGAATTTCGCAGCGGCATTTTGTTGAGCATAAAATTGCACAACTTTGCCACAATTTAACCATCCTGTATCTCTTACCGTTTCCGAGATCCCAATGGTGTGCATCGAATTTGGACCACCCTGTACAGTTGAAGCGCAAACACTAAATACCACATTAAGTTCGACTGGTACTTGCTGTCGCTGTCATGTTTGACCAAGTACCAAGTACCAGTTGAGCTTAATTTGAAAGGCAATAAGGAAGTACAGAAGTGAGTCAAACTTATAAATAAGGGACACTTACATTCAATTTGACGATCAAGATCTAGAATCTCCAAGTCCTTTTGACGCACTCCTTCACACAATTTTTCGACTTGTTCTGGATCCATACTCATGTTGATATTTTCATAATTTCCATTATTTTCGCTCATTTTTCCAGTATTCTAAAAAAATAATACCAAGAAACCCAACATTAACATGGAATTCGACCGACCACCAAACTGCAGAAAATGGAACAATTGAGTTGTGTTGACAATTTTTTGTTGAACAAAATGGTTGCTTTTCTCGTTTTCTCCCTCCTCTCCGCCATGCATAAATAGGTAGGTATAGGTAAGAATCGCTACCTACCTCCCGATTTTCCGAATAAAAATAACCACTTACCACTCCCTATGTAAAATAAAAAAGTGTTTTGCCACAAATATTAATTAGTGAATCGAGAGTCATAAACAAGTGAAATTATTCCATCTAATATGGAATAGTAGTGACTTTTCCATAAACCAGACCAGAAACAGTTTTGGAAAATTTTGAGGTTATGTTGACTGCATGAAACTAAAACAAAAACACAGAAGATAAGATCACGCGCATGATTATGTTCTGTCTCTCTCCCTCCGGTGACGTCATCCCGTGGCAAATTCGGCGCCGATGCGTCTTGGCGCGTTTTTAATCGTTTTATCTGTTCATTCCATTCGTGTTTTTATTCGTCCTTACGTAAACATCTCCTTGTTAAAGGGGGTGTGACCCTAAAAAACCACTTAGGCTACCTAAATCAAGAAAAAAAATCTAAGATCTCTCGTGAAAACCGCAGTCCTATATTCAAAATAGTCTCCAAAAAATGCCTTGTGAAGATAAATTATGCAGGATTTTGTGATGTTACAACCCAAGAATCGTAAACTCTACAGGATTGCTCAATCGGCTAAATTTGTTCACCATTGCTGTGACGTCACGTGCATCCCGGATTTTCAAGATGGCCGCTGATACGAATGATGTTCAGTTTGTGCTGACAATTATTTTATCCTTTATCGTAAATTCGGATTTATCAAGTGTTATAAGTGTAATTTAAAGTTTCATTCAATGTGTGTAAGCATAAAAGACTTGTGGCTAAAAATACTAGCAAAAACCCCAAGCATTTTCTGGTTTTAGTGGTTTTATAATACTGGATTTGTTGTATCAGGACATCGCTTTCTTTTATTCGTGTGTATTGCTAGTTTTCTATTGTTAGTATGTCCTAGTAAAGCAGTTTTTTTTTTTTGTAAATCAAATATCCACTTAGTTGTCAGTTTCCTTCGCATGTAATTACTAAAAGTAAAAATTATTGTTTCTGAAGAGTGAATAAATAAATATGTAGATAAATTCCTTTACTGGCGCGTTTAAGTAAACGCATGGAAAATATGGGAAACTTGCAGTGTTTTTCTGGATTCTGATCATGAAAATCTAATTTATATAGGTATCACTATTTGGCTTTGTGAGATAAGTTTACTTTGAATATCCATATTAAAGTTCTAGTAGGTACCTATTAAACTATATGTTTTGATAATAATTGAGTAGGTTTAGACAGTGAAAAATAAAACACTATTTTTTTTTGAAAACTCTTCATTAAGTATTGTGTATAGGTTGTTTCCTTATATTTTGACCCCTACCTACAGCTTCAGCTATTAGTTGGGGAGCTGGCGTCAAAAACATGCAAGAGTTTTCGCAAGGCTGATATTTTCAAAATAGGTCGTACTTTAGTGTTAGAAGGCTAGTGTACAGTCAGCACTCACAGTTCCGGGACAGCTGGCTCTGGGACGCGGGCAAAGTTGTAATTTTAAGAAGCATCTAAACTGTTTTCTCAAAGCTCAAAATTTATAGAAATTTTGCACATTATCTGTTTGAAGGTCACAGATAACGTATGTAAATCGTCAGACGTCTAGTTCGTTGCAAAAAGGGGGTCAGACGTCCTCAAAGTTTTTATTTTATGGCATTTTCTTCGGTGTCCTGTCAAAACATATTTTTGCAGGTATTTGACAAATATATAAATGCACTTTCAAGGATGATTCATGGTACACCGTGACTGGCCCGAGCCATGCGTCGGTGGAGCCACGGGAAAACATTGTCAGGTAACTTTCCACATAAGTATTCATGCTGAACCGAGCATGAACACTCTTCCGGGGCCCAGGCACAAGCAGTAAATTGTTCTTGTATGCTCGACTGGTAGGTAGGGTTTCCATAAAGGTTTTTCAGAATTCAGGACAAAGGAGTCAAGAAATCAGGACAAAATCCGGACTTCCCCGAAAGAGCTATTTATGCAACAAGTGTGTAAAGTGAAAGGCGAGTGCGACAAAATTCACATTCGTGAAAAAAGGTTCATATACAAAGTTTGCATACATAAAAAAAATTCTACTACCAATAAAATATGTGTGGAAAACTAGATTTTTCTATTTTGGTGTCATATCGAAGTCTTTTCGACACTAAAAGTAGTTTCGAAAAGAAGCTCTTTGTAACACTCCTTTATTACTTATCGGAAGTTGGTAACACTGGCTGACTGATGGCCATCGAACTGTCATTCGCGATTTTATATGGCGATTCCCATTTGTCAATCAATGCGCAGTGTATTCGCGTCTTTTTCTAATAGCATGTAAAATATAAGGATAGGGATATATTTTTTTTGCACTTATTCTACAAATGGAAATCGCTAGTAGAAAATTCAATTCCAATGAACTATAGCTAAAAACTGGAATGCGCACACATTGCCATATCTGCCAAAAAAATGAAGCCATGAAAGACAGATGCCACAAGGGGGAATGTTGTTTTTTTCTGTTGCTCGCTGACATATGACGTTTTCGAAAGTTTTGTCATATTTCCCTTCACAGGTTTCATCAATTGGAATACGTGTTGGAAGCAATTTTCGCCATTTAACATAATGAGTGCGACAAAAACAGGTATCCCCTCCGCAGCAGCCGCACTAGGCTTCAAGTTCGTCCTTATGTGTTAGCATTCCAGTTTTTGGTTATAGTTCATTGTTCAATTCTATATTTAGCATGTAGTGTAACCAACCTAAACATATGAAATCAGGAAATATGAGAATAAAATTTCAAAGAATTTTTTTTTTTTTTTAAATTAAACAATAGGTAGGTACCAAAATAGAAAAAATAGTATAAAATATTCGTTTCATAGGACATTTTATCGCACTCGCCCTTTAGAAAACTCGCCTCCGGCTCGTTTTCTAATATAGGGCTCGTGCGATAAAATGACGTCTGATGAAACTTGTATTTTAATATACTATTATGGCTTGCACCGACCATTTTAACGAAGCCTTAGCGATAAGTATTCCTTAAAATGACTTTTTTACATGGAGAAATGTCACTTAAAGGAATACTTATCGCTAAAACACCCTTAAAATAGTCGGTAAAAACGGACATTAGACAAATACTTGACGCACTAGTGCGTAATTTATTCCTCATTACTTCACATACTAGTGTGTGATAGTTATTTACATTACAAGTGCGTTTATGAACATGATTACAATAACGAGTGTGAAAGATTAGAACGACGAGGTCGTAGACCGAGTCGTTCTAATCACACGAGTTTTGTAGTCATGTTTAAACGCATGTGTGATGTACAACGGTTTATCTACAAAGCGAAAACTAAGAGTGTTTTTTCAATAATTTTCGTTTATTAGTCGTTATCTACCTTCATTTTACCTTTACATTTGTCAAGTCATCAAAAATAGTTGTGTTATGAATTCATAACCTAGTCCATAACACCACTAGCTGTGTTATGAATTTATAACTTAGTTCAAAACACCACTGTTCTGTTATGAGTTTCATGACATAACTCAAATACTAGAAAAATGTTTATGTAAAAACGTCATAACCAAACGCTTGTAGATAAAGTGAATTACTTTACGTTCTAATGCGTGAAGTAAAATTTTACGTCTTTTGAATAGTGCATAAACTGAGTATGAGTGTTTTCACGATCTCCGAATTTTCCGGACATTGTTCCGAATTCCGGCCGGACTTCCCCGGACACCCTAAAAACCCAAACATGTCCGGGCAAATCCGGACGTATGGAAACCCTACTGCGGGTCAATTCTTGAAAATTCTCGCATACGTAAGTTGATTCGAATTCGAATGACAGCAACGTAAATTGAATAGGAAACATTCGAATTCATATCAATTTTCGTATGCGAGATAATTCAAGAATTGGGGGCCTGGTAGGGACCGTGTTATAGTATATTCGGCACGGACGCGATCCTCGTTGACAACGCGGTGTAACATTATGTTCTGTATGTGCCCACAGAAAAAAACGATTACTCACATCAAGTAAATATTTGTTCTCATTTTTCCAAGAACAATTTTGCATCAGATGAAACAAATATCTTCAAACGGAGAAATTGGGAACAATTAAAATTAGTTTACAGAATATTTGAAATGTTCGTTCAAATGAAGAATATATTTTTATTTAAAGTGTATGTGTAATGTTTGATCAAATAAATTTATCCTCAAAAGAACACGTCAAATTTTATCAATTTGATATAATAAAACATAATTTCAAATTAATATATTCTCGTATCAAATATATTTGATACTCTAGTTAAACTTTTAAAATTACTTTGTTTAATCAGGAAATAAAATCAATTAGAATATAAATATTCTTGTTTTTAAACACAAAATATATCGTTGAAATAGTTTACCTAACCCCGGTTTCGGCTCCAGAGGAAAGTGTAATAGGTCTTTTTGAGAAAATAAAGACTCATTCCGAATAAAATATCATGTATTTGAGTATTATATTCTCAAAACAAACTTCTGTTGGTTCATCCCTTCCACCTTGTCATGTGCAAAAAGCCTCGTATAGACAGGAACTGGGAAGAGTAGCAGCAAAGTTTGTAGCAGGTAGCAGCCATTATACTATTTGCTATTATTTGCCTTTTTATATCGTTTGTGACAGTTTGTGTGTTTTTTTCTATTGATGCGACTTTTGCTTACAGGTTCTTTTTGTTATGATTTTTTTGTCTGTGGTTTATAGTGCTGTACCAACTTATAAAGGAACCATGAAAAATCTATTACGGGAATGGGAGCTGTCCGAGATATGTTCATGTCAAAGAAATCTGAAAAATCCTGGTGCGTGGTGGAAAAATAATCTTAAAAAAAACAAATGTATTACTCCCTTTACTGAAATGCATATTTATCTTTTTCATATCTTTTTTTATTTTTTAGATATCTACACTTTTATCGCCTCATCAATATCTTTGATTATGTTCGAATCCTTTATGTTCAATTTCCAAAAATCTGTATTTTTTTTCTATTTTATGTAAATTGAGATTAGTTTGATATTTCTTACTGGGGTCTCATCAAAACTGGGCTTCATTAAAATTTTCCTTCGATTTGTGGTGTTTGAACATTGATATTTGTTGTGTTTATGTAGGTTTTGCGAATTAAAGACACTTTCCAATAAAAAAGTTGTTTTTTTTTATGAATTTTAAAATCCATTTAGCTCATTTAAATCATTCAAAGCTCAGACCGTTGCTTATAGTTGAACTCTATACTTCTACTTATATACTTGAACTTGCTCACTCACAATTTCTATCATGTACCTAATTAAAAACTTCACATGTTTATTTATGATAGCAGAATAATTTTAAATTATTATTTTCAAATAATTAATTTAATTTACAATGTGGATCAAAGCAATTTTTCATACCTTTAAACCAAGTTTTA